GAGCTTGGCAGGCTGGATTTCTGCCAGGGCTTATCTGTGCTGGATTGCTGCCCAAGCTTGTTTGTGCCGGTTTGCTGCCAAGGACCTGTCTGTCTGTTAATTAAATGCCGTAACTTATCTTTGGCTCGGAGTGTGTGTTGGTGTGGGATGAGGGGGGGGGGGGTCAGAACAGGAACCCTTATGCAGAAAGCCGGTCAAAGAAAAGCCAAGTAAGTTTCATTCCCTCTTGAATGAAACAATTAAGAAATTAAGTATTACACAGTCAAGGAAGAGGCAGAAGAGATACTAAAGCTGCTAAAAGCAAAAATAAAAAGCTTTTGGTGTGAAAACAAAGATGCAATTGATAGGAGGACTTCGAAAACATTAGCCTCTGAGTAGGCTTCTCCATCACCTTGCCTTCTCTATCTACGCAAGAAGGGAAATTGCCTTCTTTCATCCAACTAGAAGAAGGAGGAGTTCAGTGCCAGGTGGCAAGACAAGAAATGGCCCTGGGTTCCCTTCCCAGTTACCTCAACTGGCCCCACTTGGAAGTCTATACAGATTTGTTGCTCTCGAATCTCTTTCAAGGCAGCCATCGCTATTCTTATGTCGTCCAAGTCTTTAATCTGACGGTTCAGTTTCTTGCTGATTTCCTCTACAAAGGTGAAGATGTTCTCCATCTCGGTCCTGTATTTCTTATTACAGTGGCGTCCAAACGCAGTCATCCAAGCTTTGGTTTCGGTTGTAAGGGCCAACTTTAAATCCGCTAAAGAAAGCGATGGAGAAGCTTCAGTTAGGACCAAATTGTTGTACTGATGCAGCCCCTATTAAATCTGCTATCCCCTCCTCCATGTGTTTGGTGACAAGAGATAAAACAGTAACACTGTTTTAATACACCTCAGTAAAAGCAGTAAAAAGCAGAGAGCTTTATAGCTTTATTTTATACATGCTATGTAGAAATACATTTGACTGAGTCGAAAGGGGCTTGTATTTAAACTGTTTGGTGGCAAGTAAATGCATTTAACATTTTTGGAAAGAGGAGAATTATACTATCTGTAGAATGATGTAGAGTAGAATTGTACACACAGTATACTTCAAAGGAGCTAGCATACTGTTTTTCTTTAAAATGTTGATGGGAGAGTTTGGAAATTTTTCTTTTCTTGTTAATTAGCTCAAACCTTTAGATTTTTGCTGAGGATTTTTTGTCTTTTGCCTTATAATGGCAAAACAAAGGATAGGTTTAGGCTCCGATATTCCAGATTATCCAACCTTATTTTGAGACTCCAGCCTTCATGTTAATGAAAAGTATTCTGAATGAAATTAAATGGAATTTACTGGTAACTAAACATTAAATCGCCATACCAGTATATAGTGCAACAGTTCCCACGCATATGTACTCAGATTCCGAATTAATTTTTAATTCTAAGTCTCGGTAATAAAGGATTTGGGATTCAAAATCAGAGAGCAAAGGGCTTCCTTTGATGAAAGTTTCAATGGTTTCTTCCTTCTCTCTCTGCCAGATGTGATGGTAACATTTGAAACGCTCCAAAGCTGAGACAACTTCCTGAAACATTGATTAAAAACCAATATAAGGCAATTGTATATAAACAGTTCCATTGCTAAATTTTGATATATATATATTGCTTCATGCAGTCATGACCCATGAACTTTGGCCTTAAAGGCTTTCATTCATATCTGGGAAATCATAGAGTACGACTCATTAATTCATACATTTGTATATTTATTAAGTTCACAGTATATGCCACTCATCTCACCTAGAGATGCCTTGGCTTACAACCAGGCAAAAGCAATAAAACGTTAAAAAAAATAACATTAAAACATTAACATTAAAATTGACTTAAAATTACTGCTTCAGCTGACTGCAGTTCTGCAGTTCGGCTGTTCAAATCTCACCGGCTCAGGGTTGACTCAGCCTTCCATCCTTCCGAGGTGGGTAAACTGAGGA